CCTAGCTACTCAGGAGGCTGAGATCTGAGAATCACAGTTCAAAGCCAGCCTGAGCAGAAAAATCCATGAGACTCATATTAATTAACTATCAGAAAATTGGAAGTGGTGCAGTGGCTCAAAGTGGTAGAGCACTAGCCTTGTATGAAAAATCTCAGGAAAGCGCCCAGGCCCTGAGTTCAAGTTTCATGACCAGCCAAAAAAGAAGAAAAGAAAAAAAAAGGTAACACTGCATCAGGGAAAAAGGTATGAAGTGTTTGGGGGAAATTAACTTGAAGTTTGGGTAAATGGCCAACAGAAGTCCTAGCTCTGTGTTAGAACTGGCATCTCTGACCACTAACTTCAGGATCCTGAGCTGAGACAGTGCTTTCACCTAGGTGAGTGTCAAAACAGAGCATTATTAAGTGGTAGAGTGCTTGCCTTGCTAGCATGAATCCAATTCAATCCTGACACAAAAACAAACAACAATAAATAAAACCCAAACAATACAGAAAGTAGAGCAAGCAAACTAAACCTGTCAGCTAGGTATCAGCAGTCAACACCTGTAACCCTAGCTACTCAAGAGGCTGAGACCTGTGGACAGCAATTCAAAGCCAGCCTGAGCAGAAAAGTCTGAGACTCTTATCTCCAATTAACCAGCAAAAAGCCAAAAGTAGATGTGTGCTTAAAGTAGAGCACCAGTCTTGAACAGAAAAAGCTAAGGGAGAGTGTCCAGGCCCTGAGTTCAAGCCCCAAGATCAGTACCAAAACAACAGCAAAAACAATGTCCAACTGAGGAGTAAGTTTCTGATTCTGGTGACAGTTTTTAGAGTACTTATATTGAGGTATATAAGCCTTGCTTTGAATTTAATTAGAAATGCCTAAAGGAATTTGAAATTAGAGTAGCTTTAAGTTTACAATGTCTAAGAAAATTTAAGTTTACAATGAATGTTTAAAAATTTTTGATTTAAATAAATTTAGGAGTTCAGATTCAGGACTGATAGTATTTGAATGCTTTGGAGGACTGCCAGGTTTTTATACATTTTTCATATTAGCTATTGGAAGTGATGTGTATAGTAAGTTTGAAATGTTGAGTATTAGCCAGATTAAATGTACAAGGAACATTTATAGTGTTTTGCTTTCCCCCCTCCCTCAGGACAAATGTCTCACCATCACTCAGGCTGGTCTCAAACTTTAGATCCTCCACGTTAACCTCCTGCGTGTTGGTGTGTGCCAATGACCCAGCTCAATAAGTTTTGAATTAGGTGACTCAAGTTAAAGTAAAAACAACAACAACAAAAGCTCAGGGACAGTGCCCAGGCTCTGAGTTCAAGCCCCATGACCAACCGAAAAAAAAAAAAAAGAAGAAAAATAGAAATGTAACTCTGTGCTAGGCGCCAGTGGCTCACACCTATAATCCTAGCTACTCAGGAGGCTGAGATTTGAGGATTGTGGTTTGGAGTCAGCTGGGACAGGAAAGTCCATGAGACTCTTATCTGCAATAAACTAATCAGAAAATGCTGGAAATGGTACTGTGGCTAAGTGGTAGAGTGTTAGCCATGAGCACAAAGAAGCCCAGGGACAGTGCCCAGGCCCTGAAGTGAAGCCCCAGCACCAGTTTAAAAAAAATTTTTTTTTTTCTTTCAAATGTGTATCTATGGCTCAAGTGTTACATTGTCTGCCTAGCAAGCACAGGGCCCAGAGTTTAAAACCCCCATACCATAATAAAAGTGTTCATCTCTCTCTATAATATCAACTAATTTGTAGCTACAGAAACAAGATGTATAAATCTTAAAGGCACAGACACATTAGATTTTTTTAATGCACAATTTTAATTACTAAGACATCATTTAAAACAGTAAGTAACTGGTAAGCATCCCCTTTCAGTGCATAACAGCCCTGGTTAAGGGCCAAACCCAGAAGGCAGCAACCATTCAGGTTGGCCCAAGTCTAGAAACTCACCTGCCCTTGGGGCACACAAGGGACATGCCACCACCGTAAGGCAGTGCTTATTTCTGCCTCTCCCTGCTGTGGGGATGGCAGGGAGGAATAGCAGTGAGGTGAACACCTGCTGTCTCCAGCTGGCAGACAAAGTGGGGAACCCCAGGTGCCAGTAGTTTCATCCAAAACAGACCATCGGCAAGAGTTCATGGTGGGCAGAGAAGGTTCCTGCTCATCTGAGTGAAGTCCAAGTGGGACTTTGTTGGATTTCTGCACATTATTGTTAATTTTAAAAACTGACTTCTCAAGTTACAAGTAGTAAAACAAACTTTTTGGAGTGGTTTTGACAAAGGCATCAAATCATATAATCATCCATCACATTTAGGACAATTGCAGCATCCCCCAAATGACCTCTTACTACCTGTTGTAGTCACCTCTAACCCTAGGCACTCGTGGACCTGTCCTACATCTATGTTTGTTCTCCCAGAACGGTATTCAAATGGATCATTCAGTCATTTAGTCTGGAACCTGAGAGTGAGCGTGGCCTCTTCACTCGACGCAGCGCATTTCAGGAAGAATTTTATGAAGCAGGCAGCTTGTCTGTTCTGATGTCTCCTCCACCTCCCCAAAGCCAGGGCTATTTTAAAACACTGCTGGCCCCTCAGCATGCTTACTTGCAAAGGCTTTCCCACCCATTTCAAACACACCAAAATGCAACCAATTTTTTTTTTTCATAGTTTCGGCAGTACTGGGAGTTGGGACTCAGGGCTTTGAATATGCTAGGCAAGCACTCTACTACTGCTTGAGCAATGTCCCCCAGCCATTTTTCATTTAAGGTTTTCCTATAAATTTTCAGAAGAATCTTTAGCATTTGCTTTTGAAATTGACTTTGTGATTTTTGACTCTCATGAGAAATAACATTTTCAAAAGCAAATACGGACTTTAACAACTAAGGGAAGCTCATAGGATTCTACACTTTAAGACATTTAATTCCATTTATTTTTATTTTCACCTTTATGTAACATCATCACGTTTCCGGGTCTCAAACATTTTCAGGTCTGAGTGTCTGGGCCAGTCCTGCAAGAATCTCATGATTAAAGTCATCGTGGATACAACCTGCACTAGTGTGGAAGGGGACTGAAGGCAGCTTTCTCAAGAATCCTAACAATCCTCTTTCTACAAAAACTGGCAACTTTTGTTTATATTTTTGTAACAAATACAACCCATCCAGAAATATATGGGCAGTTGCATTCACTGCAGCAAAATTCAAGTAGAAACAGCCCTAAGACTCATCTTGAAGGAGTTGGTGTAACTGCCACATCTACAATGGAATACCATGCAACCATGAAAAGGGGCGAGGTAGACGTACACATGCTGGCAAAAAGACATTGCCACAATCAAGTGAAATACAAGTCTTGGAAAAAGAATGTGTAGTTTGATTATATTTCCATTACTATGAAAATCATTCTAATTAAAACTGGTAGTCAACATCAAATATTAATAGTGGCTTTCTCCAGGGGAGGAAAATGTATGTGTGTGCGTATGAATGAGGGGTAATATTGGAGGTGGGGTTTTCACTATTAACTCCATTTACCACATCTATTAATTTAGTACTGATGAAAATGCAACATATATTGAACTACCAGCCTGTGGAAAGATATGAACAGATGCTCTGAACCTTCAAGCATGTTGTGGAGGAACTAGAGGTGGTTCTCTGGTTAGCAGGCCCGTCTCCTTTTTTGAGTTAAGAGAAAAAACTTCTGCTTCTTCCTTCAACCACTCTCCCACTCAACCATTTCCATGTACAAAGGATTATCTGATAGGCTTCAGAAGTTTCTGAAAATCAAGACTCTCACCCTGCAAAGTTGGGGACAGTTGTGGTTCAAAGCAGGGTGGAGGTCCAGAGATGACAACAGAGCTACTGTTCAACCTGGTATCTAAAGGATTCCCAGACTCATCACCTGTAAACCAACAGGTTTACATTGGGGTGACATGTCCACAGTGTGTAGAAAGACATAGAAATGAGGTATTGTAATGTCATCCTAGAGAGCTTGACGACCAACAGAAACCTGAGTTTGAAAAAACTAGGTCAGCAATCAGGCCAGGAGGTGCCAAGCCAATTGCTTGTTCCCACTGACCTGGGGTCGGTGGCCCTGGGGCTCCACTCATGCTGTCCCGAGGCATGTGGTCTCATCCTGAGGAAGTGATGGATATGGCAGAAACAGGTCCAAAGGATACCAAGGTACCATGAAAAGGGCCTGAAAGGGCCTCTTAGCTTTGCCCCATAATGGCTCCAAATACTACAAGCAGCCACACTGGGGCTTGCAGCTGTTCAGAACCAGTGGCAGAACAAATGTGCAGAGCAAATGGCCTTTGTGTAGACCAGGCCGGCACACCACCCAGCTGCCCAGGCCTCTGCTCTCCACAGGCAGTGTAAGGACGCTGGCCAGTGGCAGGGCCTGAGGGCCACCCGGTTGTGGCAATTGTTTTCACTTTTACTGGCACAGCTGACTCTAGGAAGCAAAAACAAATGTAAGCATTCACTCTAGCCTTTTCCTCTGGTTCCTAGGAGCACTAGAAAGGTGCTCAGAAGCAGCCTTGGACCCCTGGCTACTCTGCTGCCTCTGGATAGAAGACTTGCCTTCAGGACAAGGTACTTTTCAGACGGAGATGTTGGGGGTTGGGAGGCTAGGAGTGGGAGATGGAATTAAAACGTAAGCAACGAGATGGCAAGAAAGGGCGAAGGCATCTTCTCCAGCTCACTAAAATGCTGGGCCACTCTCCCCATTTAGATGTGGGAGTGGGGGAGGGGGTAAGAGGACTTCCTCTGTCTTCTGTCTGGTCACAACTTAACACAAAGGGTTAGAGGCATGGCTCAAGTGGTAAAGTACCTGCCTAGAAAGTGTGAGGCCCTGAGTTCAGTGTCCAGTACTGCTTTAAAAAAAATCCACAAAAAACTAACCCCAAAAGACAAAAATTTGGCACAAACGTGCTCTCTCTGTCGTTCAGTCTGTGGCCATGTCTTGGTCAATGGCCCCTTTCATACTAAAAACTCTCCATACATTTCTTTTAAAACCTTTTATTCAATAATATATACTTTTAAAATAATATGTAACTGCCCATCATGCCATACATTACCCCCTGTGGAGTCTGTGGTCAGCTAGTCAAGGTGGTTTTCTGGGAAACCAGGCAGCCACTGGACAGTCAGGGGCGTGAGGAGCAACAGTAACCAACAACCATCTGCATACCCTTCACATTTCCCATGCTTTCTGGGTCGGGAGGAAGCCAACAGGAAGCCAGAGGCATGTGAACCTTTTACATTCGGAAGTGAGGTTTGATATACGGTGGTGGGCTGCCCTTCAGCTGGTCTAGTTCGTGCTCACCAAGCCTGCCACCGTTTTGTGTCTGCTCACGGAACGTGATCTCTCTACACACGTTAAGACGTTTGATTTGGTTCTTGTTCTGCTTATGGAAAAGTGGGAGGAGCCGCAACAGACCTGGGGAGAGATGGGAGGAGGGGAAAGATGCCATTAATCGATCTGATCCAAAGCGCAGGGTCTCTTGAAGAGGGCTGGGGACAGAATGCAAGCTTGGCTTGTCCATGCCACTAGTGGGACAGTGAGAACCTGCTGTGTGACCTCGGGCCTCACACATTACTCTCTTCCTGCACTTCCCACACTCTGCAGCCTGACCCTCTGGAAGCAGAGCTCTGGACACAGTGTCCCACTGGCTCTCCCACACAGTTCCTGGGGTCTGGGACACTGGTGTGGAAGCCTGGAAGTCTTGTAATTCTGTACAAGCCAAGCTACAGGTCCATTGGTCCAACTCTAGACCCCTCCATCTGACCCAATTTATCACGGATGTCTTGTGGCTAAGAACAAGATGACTTGATTTTTACTTAGAAAAGGCCAAGTCTACTTAATTAAGAGCAAAAAAGTGAACTCAAGTATTTCCAACTCCTCTTGAAATAGCTCACTTCTAGGTCCAGCACAGTGAGGAGAGGCCAGTGGCAGAATTCTAGAAGTATCTTCCAGGTATCACAGTAGAGGTAAAGCACTTTGTAGCTATACACCAGTAGCTCATGCCTATAATCCTAGCTACCCAGGAAGCTTGAGATCTGAGGATTGCGGTTTGAAACCAGCAAGGGCAGGGAAAGGTCTATGACTCTTATCTTCAATTATTTGCCAAAAAGCCAGAAGTAGAGCAGTAGCTCAAGTAGTAGAGTGCTAGTCTTGAGCAGAAAAGCTCAGTCAGGAATGGTGCCCAGGCCAAGTTCAAGCCCCTGGAGCGGTGCACGCACACACGCACGCACGCACGCACGCACGCACGCATGCATGCACACTTTGTGTGTGCAAAGGTGTCATACTGCTCTTTGGTGAAAACCTTGTTTGGGTAAAGGCAAGGTCTGGCTACTTGGTTTTTGAAAAAGGATGTATGTGTGTATTAAATTACTATTTCTGCCTTTAAGCACCCCATCTAGCTCCCAAAGGTCCATGTCTAGAGAGATCAGCGAGAAAAAAAAAAAAACCAAATGGAAGAAACATCCCACATCTGTCGAATACTAACACATTCCTAAGTGTGCACTGCCAGGCACAGTGGTGGCGAGGGGTATCACAACTGAGACACAACCATGATTCCAACAATCCCATCAAACCTCTAGTCCCATTTCTGCCGAGTATTCACAGCAAGGTGATGATGACCCACTACCCCAGTCTTGGCAGTTCGAAGTTGAGTCCTCCCTCCTCAGGAGAGCAATGGGAGCCTCCTGCTAAGGAGGGCAGGGTACCATTAACACTTTTATTTAGGAAAACCAGATTTCATACAACACTTGTGTCCCCTCTACAGGCAGCAGCACACGAGTCACACTCAGAAGTCGCACTGGCACACACAGAAGTGACAACTGGTATGGGGCGATCACTTAAAAAAGGATGGCCACGCAGACAGGGTGCTTAGCTGCAAACAGAAGGCTCCACGGTTCTTGAAGATTATCCAAGATTTCTATCCCAAACTCTTTAAAAAGTCACCATTTACAGCAAGAAGAGCCAGCAAGTGAAAAACTTGTTAATTTATTGATTCAAAGTTGGAAAAGTAAAAACAATCCCCAATACATGCAGTTCAGGGTTATCACATTTGTAGCACACTGTTGAGTCTTGACACAAAAGTACGTATCACCTGTATAAGGCCACAACATCGTGTCTCCAGCCTCCACAAAGCCTGCTCAGGTGTGTCTTCATTAAGACATCTCCACAGCTCAAAAGCCTGATGTCAGGACTAGTTCCCTTGCACCTCTCCACCACGCTGTCCCCATTCTTCAGTTCTCATTATGATTACTGACAAATAGGGGATTCTTCCATGCTCAGGAGCATCGGAAGAATGGGGTTGAAAGGACTGCCTCATCAGTTCTCATTCACTCATTTACTTTCAGGAGGCTCTTTGCGCTGCCTGAAGGGTGTTCAAGCAGTCACACAGGTTTTTACACAAATCATCTAATCTGAACTGGCATTATGGAAACTGCTAACTGGGCTCTCTTAGACCTATTTTGATATAAAAAAAGATTTCCAATTGTGTCCCAAAGTGACTCTTCTTCCATCTGCATCCACACAGTGCCTGGAAGAACCCAAGCACCTTCCCTGAGTAGCACCCACCACGTCTCCTGGCACAGCTCTCTGGGGCTCATGCGTACTACCTTAAAGCACCACTGGGACCCAGACCAAGAATGTGTCCTCCTGGAACTTAGTGTCACCTAATTTCATCCATTTTTCTTAGTACCTGCCCCTCCCCTAGTCAAGCTCCCTTGAGCTCTTCTGTCTCCTCAGGGCAGTTAGTCTGAGCACCTTCAAGGGAACATACATGCCCTACTCAGTCTGATGAGCCCTGAGGTATTAGGGGACATCCAGGAGCAGGCCTGGCTGAGGCTGCACCTCAAGGGGCCTGGCTCTGTCACTTGTGGGAAAGAAGCCCCAGCAAAGCCTGCGCAGTATCAAGTGCTCAAGGGCTTCATCCACCCAGCCACATACCACAGGGATAGGTCAGGAACAGGGTCAACAGACAGGAATCTGGAGAGAGTTAACTGCCACCAAGCTCCCAGCATGCCCATGAATGTCCTTTAGCACTTCATTAGCTCCTCTCAGGCAGGACAAACTTGGGAGGTCTACATTCCTCAACATAGGCTCTACCTGAGAGGTAACAGTGAACACTACCCTGTTCCCCACGTTTTTTGCTTTTCTTTAGGAAATAGGTCCTTGTCATAGGCACTTTTAACCTGTTACAAGGTAAGTGATGCAAATGAAAATCACTGAGATGAGTTTAAGAAAGAATATGCTACTGAAAAGGATATTGAGTGAGTAAATTTACTACAGTTTAGTCAAAATGTAAGAGTAGACTCTCACTCCCACACACACTCACACCCTTTAGGAACTCTCCAAAATGTCAAGGGAGCTGGCTCCACCAGCACACAAGGCAGATTTGAGGAGAGATGAGAGAAGGTCTGGGCTAGATTCACTTCAGCTTGGGAAGTTACGGCCTGGCATGAAGTCCAGATCCAGAAGGGAGTGAGCATTCCAAACTCAGGTATGCTCCAAGTCTAAGGCATGAAGAGAGGTCAAAGTACAGGTGCTGTGAAAGTAAATTATATGTTAAAAAAAAAAAAGAAAGAACACAGCTGAGTCAAAGCTGTGGCTATAATCCAAAGATAGCAGGTCAGAGTGTTTTCTCAGCACCTCCTAACGCATGGCCAACGAGAGAGGGCGGAGCCACATCACCCAACTCTTCTGCTAGAGGGGTTTCAATGTCTCTGGGAGGTACAAAGGAAACAAGTAAGATTACTGCGCTACCAAGAACACCAGTGGCTCCTCTTGCCTGGTCCAGTCAGACAACTTGAAAACAGGAGAGAAAGGCAGGGGAGAGGCATGATGACAAGGAGATGGGGTGGGGAGCAGGGAAGACACAGTGGCACAGCTCCCTGATAACCAACGGTCCAGGCTGCCTTAAGGGCACACTGGCAAGTATATAGCTCAGAACACTGAGTTCTGCTGCCTGACATACTGCATAGAAGTTTAGCTGAGCTACTGTCTTATTTTTTATTTTTAGCCAGAAGAAATGTATATATCAATAAACAACAATGTGCAATGCAAGTGGACAGTACTGGATAAGACCCTTAACTGAATATTTTCCTGGCTTTAAGATCTTATTTATTATTTTTATTTTATTTATTTATTGTTGATTATGGGGCTTGAAACCAGGCCTGGGCGCTGTCCCTGAGCTTTTTCACTCAAGGCTAGTGCTCCACCACTTTAAGCCACAGCTCTACTTCTGGTTTTCTGGTCGTTAAATGGAGATAAGAGTCTCATGGACTTTACTGCCTGGGCTGATTCTGAACCATGATCCTCATATCTCAGCCTTCTAAGCAGCCAGGATTACAGGCATGAGCCACCGGCACACAGCAAGATCTTATTTTTTAATCTGGAAACTCAACTCTGCAGTATAAAGAGTTTCATTTGCATTTTTAAATTCCCATAGACCAAACGACATAAATAGAATCTACAGTTAAAGATAGGACCTACTATCAACTCAATTTTATTGGAATATGGAATGTAAACAGATGTTTCAAACAAACAATCTAACCTCATAAAAAAAGTATGGCATTTATTAAATAGTTAATAAAAGAAATTCTAAGTGTGATGTGGTAGCAGACACTCTAGTGTAGGCTTGTGAGATCCCCAGAGCTGAGGCATGGCGCTGCAGCCAGGGGAGGAGACTGCCAGCAAACCATGCCAGTGACAAGTCCCCAAATGAAATTTTAACAAACAGACTCTATTGCTCTCTGCTAATGCAAAGGGTCAGGAGTGGACTTTAGCCTAGGTCTGCACATGTTCCAGGAGCTACCCTTCCTTCCTGCGCCCCCGGCCTTGCCACATGCCAACATCTGCTTGTGAGCAACAAAGATTCATCGTTGCCATCACATTCACTGATCACATATCAGAGCTTAAACATGCGTATTACCCTGATTGCAGCCAGAAGCTATTTGTTTTGTGGGGGAAAAAAGAGGTGGAAAAACTTACTATTTTTTAGTAAGTCTTTCCTGAATAAATCCTAATAGGATAAATTTTTGCTCCTTGACTTGCCTGAAAATGGACTTTCCAGTTTTAGCTATGGTTATGAAAAAAAAGGTCACTGTTTCAGAGAAGTGTGTTAAAACAGGTGCACATATGGTGATGCACTGGGAAATGGTGAGGCTTTCCTTACAAGGCTGTGAACAAAAAAAAAAAAAAAAAAGGAAAAAGAAGAGCAACAAGATTCTATGGTTAGGCAAATCAACAAAGGTACAATGAGCTCATAGTTATGCACGTAGCTCGGAACTTCTTGAGAGACTGGAAGTGATGTCTCCTGACGTCAGCAGACTCGGTGAAAGGGTCTGTGGCTTGAATGAATACACAATAGGAAAACTGCAAGGATGAGGTACACTTCCTGAAGAGCTCATGTCATAAAAAATACATAAACATGAATTTGTAAAAGTTTAAAAAAAATACTGTCATTGTTTTAATATCTTTTTTGTAAATGAGGCTAGCGTGTCAGTATAGACTACTGACCTTTTCTAAACTTGAGCCTGAATTCTCATGAAAGGAAACCAGACCACAATGGAATAGATAGGAAGTCAGATATTCAGAGCTTGTTGACCAAACAGGTAACTCAACATTGGTGTCCTGTTAAGCACAGGCTAAGCGCACAACAAGTCCGAGCGTCTCAGCTCCCATGCATTCCAGATCCTCAACTACGTGCATCCTCACTGCCCCCGCAGCTCCCTGTACTTGGAGTTTCTTTCGTTCTGACAGTTTTAGGTTTTACTCTTCTTTGCCTTTAGAAGGAATGATTAGAATTTCATTTCATCACACTGTAGTTTCCTTCAAGTTTGTGTTTGTTTGGTTGGTTTTATTGGCAAGCATCAATGCTGCATTACCCGTCGCTCTCCAGGCTTCATCGCGCTGCTGTAAGCCCACTGGATAGCACAGCGTTCTCTGAACCAGGCTGGGACTGTTCTTTCACCACTGGGTCTGCAAGAAAGCAGGAAGGAGCAGTCAGGGCTGCAGTGTAGCACATAATGGAATGAACCTGCCCCTTCTGCAGGGAAATAGACACACAGACTCAAGGGCAAGCCAGTACTGGAAGACAGCAGAGGAAGAGAGAAACCATAGAATTCAAGCCAGGCATGGTGACTCATGCTGTAATCTTTCATTGAACCAGGAGGATCAGTAGTGTCAGGTTGGCCTAGGATACATAGTGAGACTTGTTTCATAAAACCAAACAAAAAAACAAATAACAAAAACCACCAAGAGAAACAACAGACATAAACAAGGCACTGAAAAAGGAATGCTATCTCCCCATATCCCCCTCCAGGGACTGAACCCAGGGCCTCCTCACCCATGTCGAGCAAAATATTCCACAGAGTGATGCCCTCAGCCCTTAAAAAAATTTTTTTTGTGATAGGGCCTAGCTAATTGCCCAACTGACCTGGTCTTCATGATTCTCTGGCCTTAGCCCACAGACAAGTTGAGACTATAGGTATGTAGCACCATACCCAGCTAAAGAAACTATTCTTGCATATAACTCTATTTCCTCAGCATACAGGCTCCATTGCTCATAGTTATGCACGTAGCTCGGAACTTCTTGAGAGACTGGAAGTGATGTCTCCTGACGTCAGCAGACTCATTTCCTACAGTTCCAAATTCCCACTAACTTTATGTACTATTTTCCTTTAGTACCAACACATCGAATCCTTTTTTTTTGGTCAGTCGTGGGGCTTCAACTCTGGGCCCAGGCGCTGTCCCTCAGCTCTTCAGCTCAAGGATAGCACCCTACCACTTGAGCCACAGCACCACTTCCATTTTCTGGTGGTTTACTGGAGATAAGAGTCTCATAGACTTTCCCTCCTTGGCTGGCTCTGAACCGTGATCCTCAGATCTCAGCCTCCTGAGTAGCTAGGATTTCAGGTGTGAGCTACCAGTGCCCAGTGAATCCTTGATTGTTTAAAAGCATGAACAATGGTAAGCACTTCAAGGAAGTGAACAAAAGAAGGTAGAGAAGTCTTATCAATCTCAAGTTTAGCTATGGTTGTGAACAGAAGGATCTTGTTTTAGAAAGGCAGCACTGGGGACTGAACTCACTAGATAGGTAAGTTATCTTTTTGCTGTTTTTTTAGTTTGTTTCTCAGATAAGGTCTAGCTTTGTCTAAGCTGGTTTCAAACTCTGATCCTCCTACCCCAACTCCCACTCCTGAATAACTTAATTTTTAAATTTATTTTTGGTGGTAGGTTAAACTCAGGGCCTTAGTGTAGTATCACTTAAGCTATACCTCCAGCCATTTTGTGGATTTTGTTTTTGTTTTTTAAATAATTTAATTGCTATTATTGAGGTTGTGCTGGATATTTCTGATAGATCTTATTTCCTGCCTTGGTGCTTGCTTGGACTGAGATCCACCTATTTTAGGCTTATAGTCATTGCAGGGATGACAGCTATGACTCTGTACCTAGCTCCCTTCATTGAGACTGAGATTCTACTGCCTGAGCTGGCCTTGAACTGTCAAATCACTAATGCTTCTCCAGCCATCTCCCTGAGTTCAATCCCCAGTGCTGCTTATCTGAAACCTGGTTCACAACCAGAACTAAATTTGTTGCTTAAATTTGATAGGCTTTTTTTGTTCACTTTCTTTGAAATGCCTACATTGCTCATGTTTTACAGAAACTAAGGATTAAGTATGACTGGAGCAAGTCATCTTTCTCTTTTTTAGCCAGTCCTAGGGCTTGAACTCTGGGCCTACGCTCTGTCCCTGAGCTTTTTTTCTCTACCACTTGAGTCACAGTGTTACTTCTAGTTTTATCTGAGTAGTTTATTGGAGATGAGTCTCATGGCCTTTCCTGCCTTGGCTGGGCTTTGAACTGTGAGCCTCAGATCTCAGCCTCCAGAGCAGCTAGGATTATAGGCATAAGCCACTGGTGCCTGGCTCTAAGTCATCTTTCAGAGCCAACAACAAAAGGAAAAGTGCACTTGAAAATTCACTGATGGCAATAACTGTGCCCACACAGCATCACAAGCACGCACACAGGCTGTGGTGGGGAGGGGGTGAAGTCAGCAGTACAGTGGGATTTGGGGGTCACCTGTGTTCCTTTCCTCAGTTCCCTTGTGTCCACTTGCTACCTTCTTTAGAAACACATGATGCTTAACTTTTAGCCAACTATTTGTTTTTGAGAGGAAAAGTAATCTTAGACAAGGTTTCCATAAACATGTACACACCTGAAAGCAAACCTTAGGTACTCTTGGTCTATCAGCTCAGGGTGACAGAGTAGGCAAAGAGCTGGGCCTCAAAAATGCAGTGACCTTGTTGGGGACTAAAAGACTGTTCAGGATCACCTCAGTGATCAAGAATGAATGAAATTTGAGGACATAGATATTCTAAGGAAGATCCAGTCCACATACTCAGAGTTCTTTTGACTAGCTTCAAAGATAAAAGGTGAAGGATTTCTTTCTTTCTTTTTTTAAATTTTAATGAACAGCATTCCTGAAAATAGGCCGTGCAGACTCACAGAAGTAGGGGTGCTCCATGGCCTCTTTGGCAGTCAGTCTCTGTTGATGGTCGTATCGCAGGAGTTTGTCCAGAAGATCTAGGGCCTCAGGGCTGACAAGGTGTCTGTTTTCACTATGGATAAAGTTTTCCCAGCGTTTTCGTGAATGTCTGAAAAGAAAGGTGAAACTTTATTATTCTGAGCATAAATTCAGTAAGAATTCTCCTATATTCGGGTTAAAGCCAAAAACACCTTAAAATACTGCACTGATTTTATCAACTTGACAAATCTCATTTTTAAAAATTTGTTGGTCAGGGGCTGGGAAGGTGGCTCAGTGGTAGAGTGCTTGCCTTGAATGCATGAGGCCCTGGGTTCAATTCCTCAGCACCACATAAGGAGAAAAGGCCGGAGTGGCGCTGTGGTTCAAGTGGTAGAGCACTAGCCTTGAGCTGATGATATGAGAGATAGCACTCAGGCTCAGAGTTCAGGCCCCACAACCAACTTCCTCCACCTCTCCCCCCAAAAAAACTGTTGGTCAGTTATAGGGCTTGAACTCAGGGCCTGGCTACTATCCCTGAGCTTTTCTGTTCAAGGCTAATGTTCTACCACTAGAGTAGAACACTTGAGTCACAGCTCCACTTGTAGTTTTCTGGTGGTTAATTGGAGATAAAAGTCTCAAGGACTTTCCTATCTGGGCTGGCTTCAAATTGCAAACCTCAGATCTCAGCTTCCTTAGTAGCTAGGATTACAGGCATGAGCCACCAACACTTCGCTTATAAATCTCATTCTTAGTGGTACACACTTCAAGAGGTAGGCATTTCTACCTCTCCATCCTATTCCCCACCCCTAGTCATATTACTATGGGATAAAAAAGTGCTATGTGATTAGATGAAGCAGAATTAGTTACAACATTCAGAATTTGTATAACCTTACTAGATTATTTTTCATGCTTCATGCTTTCTGATAATCCTCAGTGAGCTCTGGTGGTCACTGAATAATTTTATTACCAACAGATATATGTAGAAGGCCAGCCTTACAAACATGGTTTCAAAAAACAATGTTTTAAAACCGTCAACTAGCTGAGGGCATGGCTCAAGTGGTAGAATATCTGACTGGCAAGCACAAAGCTTTGAGTTCAAATCCTAGTATTGCCAATACATTACTCAACTAAGCTAGATACTGGTGAACTTGAGATCTCCAGCTTGCTAGGCTTGCCTGGTTGGTACTCTAGCACTTAAGCCATGCCTCCATTTCAGCTTCCTGATGGGTTAGCTGGAGACGGAATCTTGTGGACTTTTCTGTCATAACTAGATTCAAACTGCCATTCTTTTAAATCTCAGCCTCCTGAATAGCTAGGATTACAGTTGTGAACTACCAGCACCTAGATAAACATTTACTTTTTTTTTTTTTGTCAGCTGTAGGGCTTAAACTTAGGGCCTACATGCTGGTCCTGAGCTCTTTTTGTTCTAGGCTAGCACTCTAACATTTTGAGCCATGGCTTCACTTTTGGTTTTCTGGTGATTCATTGGGGTGAGAGTTTCACAGACTTTACTGCTCAGGCTGGCTTTGAACCCCAATTCTCCAATCACAGCCTCCTGAGTAGCTAGGATTATAGGTGTGAGTCACCAGCATCTGGTAAGCATTGACTGATTGTGAGTCCTGGGACTTGAACTCGGCCTGGGCACTGTCCCTGAGCTTCTTTTGCTCAAGGCTAGCGCTACACCCCTGGAGCCACAGTGCCACTTCTGTTTTTTTCATGTTTATGTGGTCCTGAAGAATTGAACCCAGGGCTTTATGAGTGCTAGGCAAGCACTCTACCACTAAGCCACATTCCCAACCCCCAAATATTATTTTATACCTATTACTTTATAGAAACCAATTATGGAAAGTAAGAAATTAATATTTTATTTTATTTTTTTCTGTCAGTCATGGGGCTTGAACTCTGGGCCTGGGTGCTGTCCCTCAGCACTTCAGCTCAAGGCTAGTGCTTTACCACTTGAGCCACAGTGCCACTTCCAGTTTTCTGGTGGTTAATTGAAGATAAGAGTCTCACAGGGACTTTTCTGCCCTGGCTGGCTCTGAACTGTGATTCTCAGATCTCAGCCTCCTGAGTAGCTAGGATTATAGGCGTGAGTCACTGGCGCCCGGCTTAGAAATCAATATTTTTTAATCCAAAGAACCACCATATGGGAAGATCAAGTGATTTGAATGGTAACTCCTTTGTACAACTAAATATGTTAAAAAAAATTATAATTTTCCAAAGATTTGCCTTTAGAATAAGCACAGACTTTACCCAGAAAGCTTTTAGTCTTTAACATTTTAGGACTGTTTTTTCCCTTCTGATTTTTTCCATTCTTTTCTTATCGATTGATGGACAGGATCTTACATAGCCTAGCTTGGCATCAAGCCTGTGATTCTCCTGCCTCAGTCTCTTAAGTGCTGGGATTTACAGGTTTGTGCATATACTTCTGGCCTGTTTTCCATTTAAAAAAAATAAACAGTTTATCTTATAGAGAAGCAAAATAATTATAAGACATAACTAATGTCCAAATAAGCTAAAGAAAATACATGAAAACCAAGACAACTACTTTAGTTTTAAGAAAGAGGAAAGAAAGTGATTTTGGCTAACCTTCCCACTTCTGAAATGGGTAAGGCAAGCCCTCTCTCTCTCTTTTCTTACTTACTGTCCCAGGATATCATTGAAGTGTGGATCTAGGTCTATGTGATACTTCTTCAGATACCCATACAACTCGTCTGTTCCCAGAACCTTGGCAATGCGAACAAGCTGAAACACAAAACAAACTGCCCAAATTACTGAGCACAGAACTCCCTGTGAGTCTGTGAGGATGCTGGACCTGGAAATCAGAAGCTACCACATCACTCAGTCTCCAGGGACAAGGTAGAGTTCTGAGCCTAGGACGGGCAAAGAGACTCAAAGACATGAGGTTAAGAATTTCCAAACTGCCTTTAAAGAGCAAACTTAGGACAAGAATCCAGAATCAACAATTATGGGGATGTCACCAGTTAAAGGCCAGGGTCTAGTTTTACTAGAAGTGCCTGACTTCTTTAGAGATTCACTTTGAAATTTGGCATAGACAATACTGTCTTTGCATATCTTTGATAACACTGTAAGAATTCTTTTTGAGCTAGGATCTTGCTATGTAACCCAAGCTGCCCTTGAACTTGAATCCTTCTGTCTCAGCCTAGTGAGTACTGATATTTTCAGGTGTTCATTACCATGTCTGGCTAAACTTCTTTAAAGTAAAGCTTATGTGCAGACACTGAATGAGATTAAGTGGCTTATGGAGAGTAATTCCTATCTAAGGATGCTATTTTCTTAGCATTCATCCCCAAAATAAGTAAAAGCCAGATGGTATTTGCTTACCTGGTCATAGTTGTCCTGTCCATGGAAGAAGGGTTCCTTTCGAAAGATCATGCTTGCTAACATACAGCCTAAACTCCACATGTCCAGGCTATAATCATACATCTGAGGAAGATAAGGGTAATCAGTCAAGGTGTCAGGAACCTATTTTACTGACCTGAGGTTCTGGTCTTCATTTGACTTCTGCAGATATTTCAGAATTAAAAACAACAACAACAACTATTCTTTCTTCCTAGAACAAGCAGCTAAAAAAAACTCACAATTAAAATTTTGGGGTAGATAAATGACTGGGTTTTGAATATATCCAAATAGACTAAACAACAAACCAGGAATAGCCCTAAGGAGGTATAAAAATAACTAGTAAGTTTACCTGATAATCCACAAGGAGCTCTGGTCCTTTGAAGTACCTTGAGGCTACACGAACATTGTACTCCTGAGCAGGATGATAGAACTCCGCCAAGCCCCAATCTATCAGCCGCAGCTAATATGACAAAGTAAGTTATGTGAAAAGAGTGTTTCTTGATGTCTGTACCAAGACAAGGCCATGCAAGGTTGCTAACTTACAGATATTTGGCCACACAAAAAAATACAAGTAGGTGCACCGATTTTAAAAAATGATTTTCAGCAATTGCAAAAGAGGTCATTTCTGGAACAGAGTACCCAGAGTGCCTTTTAAAAAAACAAATGATTCTGGTTTGTCACTCTGTTTAGGTCAACAGAGCTCTACCTTCCTACTTGCATACTGCCTACACATTCATTCTTCTCTCATTCACAGGTCTCATTACAGGCTCCTAGCATAACTGCAGGCACTGGGATGTGCGCCCACTCCACTCCACGGCTGAAGCATTGCTCTGGCTTGTCATTAATCTAATACTATCTGCCCCATTTACTCACCAATTAAGACAACCAGAGTTGGATATCAAAATTAGGAGGGACTCATGTATGTTTAAGGCCAGGCAGATTGGTCTGAGGATCATTAATTAACAAGTGTGAAGCAGTATACTTTCTTTCTTAGGCCCTCTGGAAAGGTGAGACCAAAATAAAACAAGTGACTACAATTAGGTTCATCTATCTATTTTCTTGGTTAGAACCAACACTGCAGATTGGAGAAAGGTTTGCAGCTGCCTAGCTGTAATGGTACCTTTTTCTGTTGGTGATCTATCATGACATTGTGAGGTTTCACGTCCCTGTGCATGATTCCCTTGCTGTGGCAGTAATCCAGAGCCTATTAGGTAAGAAAGCACAGAAAAGTAAACAAACTCTCTACCACCCCTAGTATAAGCACATTTTTCTTTTTTTCCACTTTCTTTCTTCCTTTTTTCTTTTAAAGATGAGGTATTCCTATGCAGCTTGGCCTGGCCTAAAACTTTTGATCTTCCTGCCTTCATCTCCCTAGTACTGAGATTATAGATGTACACCACATCCCGCATAAGCACATTTATTATCTGTTTGCTACACCTTGGCTTGCATATACACACAGTCTTCCAGGGGCAGTTTACTGCCTATAAAGAAAGAGAAAACTGCTTTGGAAGATGCTCTGTGCTCTCTGTGCACATTCTGGCTGGTGGCTGGTAAAAAAAAAAAAGGGGGGGGCATCAGAGGGTTATGTTGAAGATTTCTTTAGAATGAAGTTATAATAAACCAGATTCTGCCACCTTAGTGGAGGTATCTTTCATAGTGGTTCAAAGGACATTCCAGATCTATGTGGATATAAAGAACAACTTTCACACATATCCTTCAACCTGGCTAGTCTTTCATGTAAATGACCCATGTGGGTTTTACAGATTTAAGAAGCATTATTTCCTATGGCAGTTTGCCCTTAAAAACTGTCATATTATTATTAGTGAGTGAGAATTATTTCCTAGAAGACAATCAATATATAGGTAAGTGCCAATAGGTTTTTGTAAGAGCTGTACAAATATTACTATCACCCCCCAAAATTTCCCTTGAGCTTATTTGTCGTCAATCCCTATTACAACCACTGACTGGCTCACAGTTGCTATAGATCTGCCTTTTCTGGACAGTGATAAATGATCATATACAGGGATAGACCTTTGTTTGACTTCTTTTAGCAGCATCCTTGGCCTCTACTCATTACATGCCCCTAAGCACTCTTCCAATTACACCACCACCAAATGGTTCTAGATGGCCCCTGAAGGAGCAGACTTGACCTTGTTGGGACACCCAGTCTTCACACTGGAGGAAATACATAAGCCTAGCAATGAGCCTTAGGTCAGCATTCCAATAATGTTTCAAATTGTGTTTGTTTTCTCTAGACATAAAAAAAATACACAAAATGGGATACTTTTTAATTTTAGAGCAAGCATGGGTCTACTAAACCATGGTGGCAGAGAAGATTATAATCTCCAGGAAGGATTACTGTGAGAAAAGCACATAAGGAAAATCTGTCCAGCAGAACTTACTACAGTCATGGAAATAGTTTGTGTGTGTAATGTAGAATGGTAGCCAGTAGCTACAGGAGGCTAGTGAGCATGTGAATATGAGAATGTGACTAAGGAAGTGAACTCTTCATTTTACTGAATTTAAGTAACTTCCTGTGGGCAGCAGCTACTGTACCATACTAGATAGGGGATGCCTATGTGTAAATGGATGAAGGTTTTAAAATCTAAAATTATGTGTGCTTAAGTTTATTTATTTCACTTATGTTCTACTTGCATTTAATCATTTTTGCTTTACAACAGAGACAGCAAGATTCCAGAATCTTTTATGACAGGGCCTGGGGCCATGAAAGCCCTATCACTGGACATGAATCCAATCAAGTTGTCACAGTCTCAGGGAGACACTGCCCATTGCATGAAACCTTCAGCAGCCTCAGATTTGTTTGTATTTTCAATGAAGTTAAATATTTTCTCTTCCTACTTCTTCCCCCAAAAGAAAACTTAGTTCTTGTTTTTGTTGTTTTTAAGGATTGAACTCAGCACCTCCTATTTACTAGGCAGGTACCTGCAGCCTTTTTTTGCACTGGATATATTCAAGGTACGGTCTAGCTTTATGAAGAGGCCAGCCTGGGCTGCAATCCTACCTCCCTATGTCACTGTGTTTCTAAGTGCCACTGTGTCCAGCCACTGTGTTTCCCTGGTTGGGATGACAGGCATATACTACTGCACCCAGCCAATGGTTAAGTTAAAAGTCTTTTCTGGGCAAGTCTTAAACCACAAACCCCTGATCTCCACCTTCCAAGCAGCTAGAACTACAGGCTTGAGCCACCACACCTGGCTTAGCAATGTTGATTTTTGCCATTTTGCCTACTTTTTGCCAAAGGAATAAGATAATACTTGGGATGAAAGCAAAGATGGAAAAATACTGTAAGGTAATTCATTGTTTTTTTGTAGAGCTTACTAGCAGACTCCCTGTGGTTACTAATTCCTTTGGGAATTACTCTTCAATCTAGTAGTTTCTGACCATTAAGCATGAAAGACATTTTTGAAATTTTATCTAACATTCTATGCTGTATTGCAGAAAGATATTGCCCCTACAATCCACTGCTACCTTCAGAAAGCAGGATGGACATGAGGCACTGAGAAACACTTGCATAATCAGACTCTGAAGATGCAATGCTAGGATTCTTTACCCAATCTGAGGATGATATGCTATGTTGTGAGTCTGTACCTAGTCAGTAATAAAAAATATTTAATTTAGACCTCTAGGGCAAGGGCCAACCTGACGGTTCACAGGTCACCACAAATGCCCCCACACTAGGCTTGACTCTAGTCTGAGACGATGTGGAAAAAGGTAGGTGGGTGAAGCTGTATCTCCCTATTCTTACTGACAAGTAGACATGTCAGTAGCTATAACATGAAACCTCAAACCTACTACCTCATCAGGTCTAGTGACAGGTGGCTTGTGCAACTGCTCCTAAGAGAAAACAATAATTTCACAGAGCTAGTTCTTCAAACCCTATTCATCAAACCCCAGTCCAGTCTTGATTCACCCTTTTTTATTTTCCAATCAGTATTTCACCATTTTATTGAAATCTCACCTAGGCAGTTTTCTTCAATAATGGCTTTAAACTCAGGGCTTCATGTTCACCAGGTTGGTGACTGACTACTTTAGTTCTCCTAGTTCTCTGAAGCAAGAACTTCTTAATGAACAGCCCAATTACTTTTGAGTAGTACTTACTTTAAGTAGTTCATACATATAAAACCGGATATCAAAGTCTGTCAGGATCTGGTAGAGTTGCTGAAACAGATTTTATAAAATAAAGTTAGCCTAGTCTCCAGTACACTTTGTTATCTAAGGGCTGGAATTTTCTGTCAACTTTATTAGCATTTCAGTTTCTACTGAAAATCCTAAGACCTTCACTGCCTGATGTGGAATAAAGGTAAAGATGAGGAGTCCAAAATTTCAGGGACTAGGAAGTTGGCTCAGTGGTAGAGCGCTTGCCTTGCATGCCAGAGGCCCTGGGTTCGATTCCTCAGCACCACATAAGCAAAAAGAAAAAAGCCGGAAGTGGCACTGTGGCTCAAGTGGAGCGCTAGCCTTGAGCTGAAGAGCTGAGGGACAGTGCCCAGGCCCAGAGTTCAGGCCTCAGGACTGAACCCCCCCCCCAAAAAAAATTCAGTTTTCTGGAAAGAGAATATAAAAAGAGACAAGAACTCCAAGAGATCTTGGAGTTTTGCTATTTACTGCACCCCAATTGATGATGGGTAGATATATATATACACACGAATACCTCTATTCTTGACAGTCCAAAGACCTACCCATTGGGAATTTGAAAGAAATAGAAATTTCTTTTTTTTTTTTTCGTGGGGCCTGAACTCTGGGCCTGGGCACTGTCCCTCAGCTCTTCAGCTCAAGGCTAGCGCTCTACCACTTGAGCCACAGCGCCACTTCCGGCTTTTTTCTTTTTGCTTATGTGGTGCTGAGGAATCGAACCCAGGGCCTCTGGCATGCAAGGCAAGCGCTCTACCACTGAGCCAACTTCCCAGCCCAGAAATAGAAATTTCTAAGAGTCAGAGTATGAAGTTCATTTAAAGCATCCAAACCCTACACTACTGCCTTTGGTATTCAGACAATTCCAAGTAAATCTCTTTCCCCATCAATGTAGGCAGCACCTTCTTTTATAAAGAACTTTTATAAAGTTAGTCAAATCCCTTACTAAACTTCCCTTCCTCCTCTGTTGGAAGAAAAAACAGTGTGTCTATTAAAGGAGGAAAAAAAACAGATGTTCATACTGGTTATCTTCAAAGAAACTAATAGCAAATGCTTCCATTGACCATGTGTAAAGTACTAGCCACTCTTCCTTCTTCTCTTCCAGCTCAAGTAGAATACACAGCTTCACTGACCTCAGACAGCTGCTAGATCATGGCATTGTCATGACCCAGCCCAGGCTAGGGCACTGAGTGCCTTGAAACTGCTTCAGTGCTAGTGGCTGCCCTGGTTTAGGCTGAATTGCAATGAAGCACAGTGGTACAAATAAGCAGCTTCAGCTCCCTAACAACTCAAGCCTGGGTTCTCTGTTCTCCAAGCCCTGCCCAGTGAGGCAGGCCTCTTACCCAGCACTTGGCTGCAAATGACAGCCAAAATGTGCGGGTGGAGGCTCCAGATACTATCTTGGGTTAAGGAGATCACTCAGAGGGTGTGCTCAACTGAATGCCAAGTCAATAAATAGCTTGTGAAAGAGAAAAGATCAAATTCTCTATCCCTCAGAGGGCTGGAATATTTTACTTCCAGAAAACTAATACAGGCTATTTTATTTGGTCTTTTATCTGTGAATAGCTTATAGCATGTGCTATATATATGAGGCATCTGTGTAAATCGACCACAGGTATAAAAATAAGTGCCCTTGGCCTCAAACATAGCAACTCCAACCAGTAACACTTTTATTGAATATAAAGGACAATAGCTATATAAAAGTGCTTGAATTAATGTATTTTAAAGACCTGGATCACTGGCTGCCATTCACCTTTCCTTTTTCCCCCCCCTTTTTTTGGAGTTGAGGGACTAAAGTGCATCTGTAACATTTAACCCCCGGGCCTAAAAATCAGACCTCTCCAAAGCCCAGCTTGGTTTGCTCTAACTTTTGTTTCTGTAGGTTTGATCTCCATCGAAGTTCCCACGAGTCACCCCATCTGAGCACCCCAGCCTGCCTCTGTTCATTCACACCTCCCTATCCAGAGCTCCCTCCTTCAATCTCCTTCTTGGAACTCTTAGACCACTTGCTCACCACCAGGACTCAAAAACAGCAGCATCCCCAGAACATCCCTCATGCAGGAACTGGTAGTGACTCTACTGTAAACATGAAACTACTTTCTATCCAGAGTCCCTTGCCACTTGCCCTGCAGGTTGCTCTAGCCTCACAGAGCAAAATCACATGTGCTCTATGAACTCTATTCCAGGTAGGGAGGCCTCTGCTGAATGAATGTATGTTGTTGTTTTTTTTTTTAATAACATTTACCAGTCAGTGGAATGAAACAACCTGTCTTCCAAGAAACAAAAAGCCCGCAAAACATAGAAATGGAAACTTCACAAGAACCATACTTTTCCTCCAGCTACATGGAGATTATTAACCAAACAACTGCAAAATATGAGCAGGAAGTTAGCTTTGCTCACATTTGCATAAACCAGTCCTTGTCAAAAATAAAACAAGGCTATGCTCCCCAGATGATTATAAAGGTGGTAAGGAAGAAACTGCTTACTGCTTGTAGTTTCTCTATATTTCTCTAGAAACTGGCTTAACTACAGGATGATTCTAAAGGGCCCTGGGGTCAAGGTTTTTGTTTTTTAAATCTTGGTAATGGGGTTTGAATCCATGACCTCATACTCAGCTTGCTCAGCTGGCTGGTACTCTACCAGTTGAGACATACCTCTAGCCCAGCTTTTTTCTGCTACTAGAGGACATGGAAATCTCATAGATTTTTCTGCCTGGGCTAACTCTGAACGGTGATTCTCCAGCTCTCACCCTCCTAAGTAGCTAGAATTATGGGCATGAGGCACTAGCAGCCTCTTGGGGTCTTTTAGTAAAAAAAGTCTGAGAATGGCAGATACTTCACCTTCATCATCAGGCTCAGGGGATTCTGGGTCCAAAGCTGCCTCATACAATGGCCATGATAGGCCTAACTTATTCCTGCTAAATGAACAACAGAACCTCAACAGATTCAAGATGTGTGTGTATGTACACCATAGCCCCAACAACTGCCATTCAAGAGGACTCTACGCTCTGAGGTTATGTGCTCTAACACACACAGCTCAATCTGAATCCAGGAACCCCAGGCTGGGCTCTTCATAGAGAAGATAAAATGAGGAAGAGGTATAAAGTGAAAGAGGTATTTAAATGTCAGTTACCAGTTTAGATACTTCTAGAAGGTAGCAAAAAAAAAATCAAGATCAACATTTTTAGAAAATTTCTTCTTTTTTTGAGACAGGGTCTTGGTATGTAGCCAAAGGTAGTCTGGAACTCATGATCCTCTGCCTCTGTCTCTTAAGTACCCGAATTATAGACATGCACCACTATGTCCACTAGAACAAATCTTTGAAAAAACAAGTTATAACAAATCACTCAATGCATATTCATTTGTATTTAGACTGTTCCAAAGGCATAGAAAGCCAAGAAGCATGTCTCAACAGAAACTTATGTTTCCCTTTAAGAGATTTGAGTTTCTATTGCTATTAATTTGTTTTGAAGTTATGTTTTCTATTCTAAGGTCCACCATGTTTTGTTTGCTGTAACTCTGATATACAGGCCCATAAAAAAAAAAACCTGCCTCTTATTATAACAAGGGGAAAATTAGTAAAAATTGTAATTTAAAAATTGATCAAGAAGTGGTGCTGTAGCTCAAGTGGTAGAGCGCTCGCCTTGAGTTGAAGAGCTGAGGGACAACGCCCAGGCCCAGAGTTCAAGCCCCACGACCGACAAAAAAAAAAGAGTTCTGAGGCCCAAGAGTGGTGGCTCAGTGGTAGAGCGCTTGCCTTGCATGCCTGAGGCCCTGGGTTGGATTCCTCAGCACCACATAAGCAAAAAGAAAAAAGCCGGAAGTGGCGCTGTGGCTCAAGTGGTAGAGTGCTAGCCTTGAGCTGAAGAGCTGAAGGACAGCGCCCAGGCCCAGAGTTCAGGCCCCACGACCAGACCCCCCCCAAAATAAAATAACTGATCGAGCCAGGTGCTGTAGCTCAGGCCAGTAGCTACTCAGGAGGCTGACATCTGAGGATTACAGTTCAAAGCTAGCCAGGGCAGAAAAGTCCCTGTGAGACTCTTAATCCCAATTAACCACCCAAAAACTGCTAACAGAGCTGTGGCTCTAAGTGGGAGAGATCTAGCCTTGAGCAAAAAAGCTCAGACAATGCCTGGGATCTGAGTTCAAGCTCCACAACTGCCAAATAAATAAATAAATACTGATCGTACCCTAAACCACAAAGAAAACATCAACAAATTCCAAATAACTACCCATGTGTATCTGTGTGTGTGTATGTATGTATCTATCTAACTACCTATCTAATGTCTTAAGTATCCCTTATTTGAAATGTTTTGGGTATCCAGTTTTAGAATATTTTCATATGCATAATGACCTTGACTTGAACACAAAATTCACTTATGTTTCATATATACTATATACACAGTGCCTGAAAGTAAGTTGTACTACACATTCAATAGTTATGTGCCCAAAGCAAAATTTCAAAAGGTTGTTTCAAATTTCCACTGTGGTGTCACAGTGGACTATATAGCATTTTAGATTTTTGGATTAGTTCAATCTGTACAGAGCATCTTTTTCTGGACACAGTGACAACAAATTTAGAAATCAACAATAAAAACAAGAGATTTTTAAAGCTGGGCAGTGGTGGCTCACTCCTGTAATCCTAGCTACTTAGGGGGCTGAGATCAGAGGATCACAGTTCAAAGCCAGTTCAGGCAAGAAAGTCCATGAGACTCTTGTCTCCAATAAACCAATAGAAAACTGGAGGTGGCACTGTGGCTCAAGTGGTAGAGCACTTGCCTTGCACGCATGAGGCCCTGGGTTGGATTCCTCAGCACCACATAAGCAAAAAGAAAAAAGCCGGAAGTGGCGCTGTGGCTCAAGTGGTAGAGTGCTAGCCTTGAGCTGAAGAGCTGAGGGACAGTGCCCAGGCCCAGAGTTCAGGTCCCACGACCACTCCCCCCCCTCCCAAAAAGGAGATTTTTTTTTTAGAAAACTCAATTGATCATGAGCCATATATTCATGAACACACAAAAATATAAAGACTAC